TTTGAATTTCAAACGCTCATAAAAATTTAATTTGACTTTCCGATAGAGATTTTTTTATTGATAAAGGTAGACAATCTTATGAGTAATCTTGTATTAGATTTTCAAATCTTAAATTTAAAAAGAAAAATTTTTACGAATTCTTAACTCAAAATAATTTGCTAATTTTCGTGATTTTTCCATATTTTGTCAATTTTTGAACTTTAAATGCTTATAAAAAAAAATTGTGACTAAGGATTTTTAATATTTTTCATCTGCCTTTGAAACAATATATTAGGAGCCTTCTATTAAATTTTCAAGCTTTCGCAACCAACAAATAAAATTTTATTGATATTTCAAGAAAAAAAACTAAAAAAAAACGAAAAATTAAAATGTCCCTAAACTGTTCAAAATAAATCAAAATATTTTGAAAATGTTATCGTGTATAGAAGATGCAAATATAAACAACCAGTGAAAATTTCATGTATCTACGGTCATTTGTTTTAAAGTTACACCAAAAACCAGAATCGATTTTTTGGAAAACCGATTTTGCGTAAAAATTCCCGTTTTTCCTTAATTTTTATGTTGTTTTTCCCGGCGCTCTTGAAAACTACTGGGAAATTTAAATTTTTACCTCCCCAATGCACCAACGATATTCACTTTCCAATCGAACAAGATACTGAAGTCGAAAATCGAAGCATTATTTCGACTACTTATCGTGTACACAGACACAAAAATAAAAAAATTAAAAAATTAAAAAATAAAAAAATTAAAAAAAAAACACACATCATTGTAAAATCAATACATTCATCGTTTCACTCAGAATCTAAAACCGAAATACACAGTTTATGTTATTCGCTAGTACTAAACATTTTTAAGAAGTAAGTTTTGTTGACGTGATTTTAGGTTAAGAAGAGCTCTTTCTTTATTATAAAACAATGTGAATGATACCACCAGTAAATATAATTTTATTAAAACTTTTGCCTCAAATCTCAATATAAAATAATGTACTTTTGAATTAATCTCGAAACTTTTGATTTTATAATCGCATTGGACAATCAAATGGTATAATTTTCGGTTTTATAAAATACTATTTTAAGTTCTTAAATAATATGATTAAATTTTACGATTTAAGAGAATAAAAAATGATGATTTAAATACTGCAGTAAAAGCATACCTATTTAAATATAATATAATCTTGAATTTTTTTTTTTTTGTATTTTATAGTAGGTATAATAATATTATAGTTTTGGTTAACGTTTCTTCTGTAGCTTAGTGTCTAACAACAATCATATGCTTTTCTAATTAGCAGATGAAATATGTTTACTCCTTAGTTCTTAGCCACCACGATGAAAAAGTTCTTTGAACTATTGACAAGTATGCATGCACATTTGTATTATATTGTATTTATCATAAGACATTCATTGAATTAAATGGCATAAAATATAATATTTTCCAAAGCGCATATCTACGAATATTGCTGTTACGTGATGTTAGTATGTTCACGTCATACATTTTAAACGGAAATTCTAATTACTAATGCTTTATGGTATTATAATTGTACATTTCCACAGAACTGAAAAAAATATTTTGAATATTTCCAGTTCAAATTTAATTTTCTAATGTTTCATAACTGTCGGATAACAAAATATATCAAGAGTACGCATTTCGGTTTTTACAACATTGTGAAAAGGGTATTTGGATGTCTGTAAACTTTCCTTTTTCATAATTATCAGATTAGTTTCAAAACTCGAAACAAATTAGTAATAAAATACTTTACATGTTCGTTATATTTGTGGCATTGAAATCAAAGGATATAATTCATGCTATTTTAATTAGTTAAATATCACAATTATGGAAATGAAACTGAAACTCCTAAAATATCGGAATTGTTAGTTATTGGATTAGTTTGATAAACTTCCTTCGGGAATTTGTAATCATGACAGGAGTTCTCTAATATCTTTCAAAAGTTAGAGTTGTCTCTGTCTGTATTCAAGTCCTTAAGTGGTAAACTTTTCAAAGCCTCCGTCAAAAGTTTAGATTTAAAAACTCTAAAATTGAATTAATTTTTTTTTTTAATACAATTGTAATTAAGTTACTATTCTAGTATTGACCTCATTCTGAATGGTAGCTAGTTAAAACAAATACGATAATTTCTCGATTTTGAATTTATTGTTTCGCGTTTATTTCTTGGCTAATTATTGTTATTGAACTCGAGTTAAATGTTATATGTTCGAAATAATTTTTATAGTCGCATTAGCATAAAATAGCAATAATCATAATAAATAATAATAATAATCATTTTTATACGCGCTTACGGAAACAACACCCAGTGGACACAATAACTTTTATATAATAAACCATTAATTTATCTACGGATATAGGATGGTAACGTTTTTATTAGACTATTTTTTATTTTTTATCTAAAAACGAAGGCGTTTTTCTGAGTGTGGAGGTGAAAAATAATTTTGAAGTATGATACATCGCGCTATCGTCATAGACTAAGAAAGATCGCCGAAATTTCTTGTAAATTTATAATAAAATACCATAGGTGGGGGGATCCTATAGTTAATTTTCCCTCCGTATGTAACAAATTATCAGCCCTCTTATGAGTCTAAAAAAAAGCAAAACACTGGGTTGACCACTGTTAGAAGCAATACGATAAAACGTATATTTTTAACAAAATCTAAAATACTAGATTGATGCATTATCTGTTAATTCCGACACTTTACGATTTTCGATAAAAGTTCACTGTCGATCCCTTGAGGTCCTGTAACTATAGTTTAAATAACTCTTTTTTGGCGAGAGAAACTCGCTATGCACAGAACTGTCAAAACTATATAATATAGAACTGACGTTGATCGAGCTGCGTTTTTTTTTTAGTTTTTATCGAGCCGACAATTCTTTAGGAATAAAAAAAATGATCCATTCAAACGTAAAACATATTATAACAGTGTCGAAAAAAATCCTAATAACATAAAAATAATATTAACTCATTATACCTACAACACTAAAAGTAATAATAATATATTATATGCTATATTTCTTTATACAATATGTCATTTATATCCTCCACCCGATTATACACACACGATTTTCATGACACGCGAAAGAACTATTTTATTTATTTTTATTTTTATTCAACCGAATCTACCTGTAGAACGCCTATTAGGTATATCTTAAACTTTGAATTGTCGTTCCTCCTAATCATTTCCAATGTTTTCTTAAATGGATTCTAATCAACATGGTTGTACCTACCTATATAGTTGCAGCGGTCTCAGAGCCAGAAACACTAGACAAAAACTGAGTAATTTATTATAATATGATACTCAGCCCAGGTTCATACAACTACTGAGTGCACATATTACGATACTCAATAGGCGTCCGTGACAAGATCAGTAAAATTGGAAGTGTTGTCAACTTGTTAAATACCTTCTACAGTTACGACAGAAATAGATCTCCTCTTCAAGCGCTCACATTATAGTTTATTATATAGATCATAGTGAATTATCTATCGATACTTAAATAATGGATAAAAATGGTTCGTGTTCACGACATGGTAATTGAACTGGTAGAAAGTATTCGTCAGACAAATAGTGGAAACATTGCGTTTACTTAAATCAATACGATAGTCGTGTAAGTGTTGGATAAGACGTCGGCGGTCGTGTTATTCAAATAGATATTCGTTATATATTCAAAGAAGACGAATACACCTCCACTGCACATGTTATATTATCCCCTCGCAGAAGTAGCACATTGTGTCCACGCCTACGTAATCGCATCTGAAAATCCCTGTACCGGGTCCGAACACGGGTGTTCGCCTTAAGTGGAGCGATGACCCAGTCCCCCGGGAAAAACACTCCCCTTGATCCATTTTCGAGTGTTTACGTCAAGCGATACATTTTACTTGGTATTAAATGTTTTGCCCTTTCGCGGACTGCTATTTCACTCGTTGTTCACCCACTGTTATAAGCTGCTGTAGTATAGTTCTTCGGAATTAATCACATTTTACTCGGATACCACTTTCATCTCACCACGGAAAATGTCTAATCACCTATAATACTATTGCCTAGTATGACTTAACTATATTATATACTTAGGGTATACGATACCTATACAGAGTAAAATATTTAGATTTACTTATTGATTGAAATCTGCTGTGAAAAAATTCGCTAACCTACCTAATAAAAATATCGGTTATCCGATTAAGACAAATTATTTTTAAAGTGTTTAATTGTTTTTAAAAAACTCTTATCCATAACATTTATGCTCATCGTGGTGTGGAATGCTCTGTATAAATACCTTTTCCATTATTGTCTAATGACGTAAGGTGATTGTGCAGATAGTGTACCTACTAAGACCACTTTTTGAAATACAACAAAATCATGTACAAACTATCTGTCTCCAATGACAGGAACTGATGGGATCGACTTTATCGAGCTAAAAAGAACTTACAAATTTAAATGCCATTGAGATAGGTACCTGTACACACCTGTTTGCTATTTTAAATCGAACCGGTAAAATTAGTATTTTGCGAGTTGATAATAATTATAAAGGTAACTGGGCATACGACATTTGTATAAGGTACCTACACGACAATTAATATGGGAAAAAAATTATTTTGGGAATATTTGGGTTCAATATACATTTTAACTCTATGCCATCGTAAATTAAAAAATATCTATTTTCAATAATTTAAATAATAAAACCAATTTTTTATCAAATAAGATTCTTACATTCAACTGGTTGTTATATTATATTATGAACTGTAAGAATGTATATTTTATTAATTTAAAATGATTTCAGATATAATTATTGTTAAAAATATATATATCTATAATCTATTAAATATTATTAATAACGTATTTACCCCGCCATAAGCATAGGTTATTGGGGTAAATTAGCTTAATCTCACAATTATTTCACTTAAATTAGAATATATTGTGATTAGTGAATATACAATATAAATAGGTAATATTTAGCAAAAATATAATAATAGTATCATACGAACGACAAAAATTTCATCAACAATAACAATTATTAGGGTTGTCGACGATTGTAATAATAACACTCAGATGTCTTACCTTGTTCGGCGATTGCTTGCTGGCGAACAGCACGTCGTACACGGCACACACGGCCAGCACGGTCAGCCCGGTTTCCTTGGCCAACATGGATGCGGCCGCCATGAGCAAGGTGGCCGCCAAGCAGGCCCACTCTCGGACCGCGCAGCACTCGGTGACGCCGCCGGGCAGGCCATCCAGGTCGCTAGAGCACGTGCCCAGGCCCAGGGCGGCGAAGACGGTGCGCACCGCCGAGCCCAGTCGGTACGTCCGGCGGTGGCAGCCGGCGTCGCAGCACACGACGCGGCGCCGCGGGTCTGGCGTCCTGTCCCGGTGCCGGACGTGCGCTGCGTAGCACAGGAACGCGGCCAGGTAGAACAGGCAGGCAAGCAGGTCGGCGCGGCCCACGACACCAGCCACGGCCTCGGCGTGCACCGGGTGGACGGCGAACACGGCCGCGGCCGCGGCGGGCCGGCGGCCGGGCATCAGCGTCCGGTACACGGCGTATACCAGATACGTGACGGCGCAGTGCAGCAGAACGTTTGCCGCGTGGTAGCCCTTCGGGTCCAGGCCGCCCGTCCAGTGGTTCAGCCGGAACGAGGCCACGCACAGCGGCCGGTACGAGCCGTGCGAGCTGCTCGACCCGATCGGCGTGCCCCAGAAGTCGTTGGTCCAAATGTCGGTCAGCGGCGCGGCTCGCGTCACGTCCGGGTTGTTGACGATCGCCCGACTGGAAACACACATAAACGAATCACACATTATTATACGATTTTGAGGTACTTTGCGAAGGGGCAGAGTTCAAAAATGTAATTTTTACTATCCATACTCCATTCCAAAAATAATTTTGGATGAAAACGCGTTGTGGTTAGCGCGCATATGCAGTCGGTGCGCGGCGGACTACAACTGGCCGACCGCAACGGCTCTACCGTTCCGAGGCTACGCAGTTTTTCCAATCGTTTTTGGAATAGAGTATATAGGATAAAGGTACGAAATACATATTTTAATAACGTTATATTATCTGCTGGTAACAAAATGGTTATATTCAGTTGTTTGCATAACCATATTAGATATTTACACTATAGGTATACTATACGTTTGTCGTTCAATGGGTATATTACCACCGTAATGATAATATTATATCAAAATGTTCAATATTCGGGACAGTGACAATATTGTTATAATCAGGTCGAGCACTTCATAAGAATAATATTATACGAAAAGACGTGATTTTGAGTTTAGAACATCGCTGACCAAAAAGTCTGGTGGTCTCGTGTTTGACCGATGACCGGCGCAAAGGCACGTCTTGGCGATGGGATGAAAAAAGTCGTTTGGGCAGACGACCGACCGTTTGTTTTCATGCATTGGCTGTCTTGTGGTTTTTTTGGAAACCTCCCAGAATCAACCAAAGAAAACTTTCCGAAACGATCACGGCGAGACGACGTGGTAAGCGAAAACGTCGTGCAGCACGATATAAATCACGAACCGGAAATGTTAGAGATCTTGTGTCGGAAGTAAGTTGGATATGGTGACGCTCGCGACTAACGCAAAGGGATATTGTGCGTGACGAAGTCTAGCGCCGGACATGGTAATATATTATCATATTATAGAATTTTTTGAGATAATGTTTTGCCCCTTCTTTATGGTATTTGATCACTTGTGGTTGTGGGGAACGAAATATGACCTCAGCCAATATGAGTTCGACATACTGCCGACAACGGTTATACTGCAATGGTCACAGGCGCGTAAAGAGAAAACCATCTGAAGGCGGAATTATTATACTTGTGACACGAGCATAATAATGAATATTTTTTTATTTCGTTAGTATTATTATATGATATTGAATTCAATAGATAAAATTCTTAAGAATTGCAGTGTATTGAGCCGCCAACATTTGGGAAAAATAATGCATTCTGCTGTACACGTCGGTATTATTATTTTTTTTTTTAATATCGGGGCTAAGTGACCAATATCCCTCCTACCATTACGTGAATGTTTGGTCATAGTTTTAATATTAAAATATACCTAATGTATGCAACTATATAGACAGTTACAGAACAATTATCACTATCATTTCGTCAGTAAATATACAAAATATGTTGGCGAAGAGTATGTATAAATTATGCCATGCATCTCTCTATATACTTCAAAATGTCTCGAGAATTTAATAATAATGCGAACATTCGAGACACAAACAATCCGAACGCTGCGAAGACACAAGTGCTCGTGCAACAGTGAATGCGAACTTGTTAGTTGTTTGTTCGTTATTTAAGTGGCACAAAGTTCATTTTTATTGTACTTCTAACAAAACTCGAGTGTGTTACACTAAATTGAACGAACTATATTTATATATACGTTACTAACGAACAAATTATTCGACGATCAGATTACTTAACTATACCGCGGCTGCAGCAGTTACTGCAGACGTATATCATCGGTGTTTTTGCACTCGAAAATAATATAATTGTTAAAAATTATGTATACAGTATTATAATTTCAAAAGGCTTTTGAACGCACACATATTATTATCATAACTCACGTACAGCTTCGTTAAAAATAAAACAAAATAAATAAACTTAAACTACATTATAATATAATTATAAAATACTATTAAAAGTATGTACCTAATACGTATAATATTATGCAGTATAATATGCACTATATTATAAGCCTTTATTTTGTTTATGCCTCTTCGGAGGGTTATTTGCATCGTTCTGATTAATTTTAATCTGCATCAAAGTATATAACCGTATTTCGCTCCAACGCTTTAAAGGACATAATTAGAGTTTTTATTTGCAGCAGCAGAAGCAGCAGCAGCAACAGTAGCATATCAGAATAAAACAAATTATAAAAAGTATCATATAAATTAATAGCAACAACAGTTTTCGAAAACTCTTTGATTTGTTTAGTTCATAAAATATTTCCATTTTAATTTTGGCTTTACCACTATTATAATCATTATTCGTATAGTGATAATCAAAAATATAACTAAGTAACCATCTGGTATAATCAATGTTAATTCGCTTACCATTGCACTTTTTGAATTAAACTCAAAATCAGCTTGACTCGACATCGACTTGAAAGATTGATATTATTATAAAATACATTAGGTTGTTTAGTTTTGATAATCACAAGGAATTAAAAATCGTTCGGCGCTGTCTGCCTGTCTGGATCGGGACCTAATGCTTTTTGGAGGTTTTCGGGTACTTTGACTTTGACTCTATGTCTCTTCGAAAGTGGCAAATTATGTGTTTGACCGTGAGAATTCTCCGCTTGCATAGCAAACATGGTCTGGTTCCGATCTAAGCATGAGGTGTCTGTGACTTGTGAGTCAACCATTTGTGGCCTTTTCAAAGTCTATTCAGAAATACGTTTCGTCGTCTGGATCAATGTCTCTCAACTTTTTTTCAAGACGACTCCCCAATTTAGATTAATAAAAACGGTGACACACTTATAACAATTAATGGATTTTTTAAAAATTATAGCTTATAAACCTATATGTAAATAATTGAAAATGAGACTATCTTTACAATTATTTTCTTATCTGTGTGTTTTTTTCATAATTAACTCATAAGCACAGATATGAATAATAAACTAGATTTGATAACTAGTGATATTATCAGCCGTCGCCAAAAACCGCGATGTTGGTTGTGAGCTATGTATAGACAGTGTTATCACCTGATAAACCAAATTTATCATTGTATTATATCTATTTCTGTGTGTTATTATCACGACATAAATTGATAAAATACCATAGACCATAGCCCACAACCTACATATTGAAAAAAGTGGCGTCATCCAGCCCGCTTGTCAGTGTATAGTAGTTACTAGTTAGCAATCTAGTTAAATACCTATATTTATTCTATGGTCATAAGTCATAATGCCATAATAATATCATAAATGTATGCTTTAGACATGTACAATATAAATAAACAATCTCTTTGGCGACACACATTACGGTAATAATCGAGACATTCCTGCTGAGAACCACTGGTCTAATTGGTGGGAAGGTTGGCCATGGAAGTATAGTGGTTTTTTTTCGTTCAACTTCGTCTGATGGGTTGACCACATGTGCTGCCACTTGCCAATTACCATTGATTTAGTATTTGTTTGTTGGTTTCAATATTATGTATTATAATATGACGTGGTACTTATATATTGTGTTTCGTAATTACTCGACGTCAACGGTCGAGCGTGATTAGGCTACAAATTATTTGTGTAGCTCCAAATTTTCGAATTAGTAATTACTAATAATTAGCGATAATGGGAAATTATTAAACTAATACAACATTTCCCTTCAGAATTCGCATTTTTGGGAAATTGGTATTAACTAGTAAATAATAATTGGTATATAATTAGTATACGATATTTCCATATATAGGTAATGATTTTTTAAATATTTATCTTCTACGATTTTTTGTTAGGTATATTGTGAATTATCACAGAAAACGGTAACCAAAAATAGTGTAAGACCAGAAATATATAGCTGACATAAGGTCTGTCCCGCACGACTCGTATAGTACTTGGAGAATATAGAAATCACGATAGTAAAGTTACAGACAACTGATAGGAAACCATAAGTGAAAATAATACTCGTTATAATACTCTATACGAGTATACGGAGAACCTTTAATACGAGTCCTGTCTCGTGTGCAATCGGCCTAAGACATTATGACAACAATCACGAGCGCCCGAAAAAATATAAGTGCAGGAGAGGGCGAGGGGAAAGTCAAAAGTCTCTGATATTACAGGACATATTACTATTTTTAATTTTTTTTTTTACAATCAATAAAACAATTAATATTAACTAAAATATCGGGGACCCATCTTAGTTTTGAGTCTTCACCGAGTAGTTAAGGATTATTCAATTTTATCTTTATTCTCTCTTTTTTTCTATCACATTATAATAGTATCATGCCAACTGGAGATATATAATATACATGTTTGGTACCTACTCGCGTGTGGTGTTAACGACCCGACACCTTTTGTAAACGTAAACAATGTATCACCCCGCCAAATTTCGAATCTCTCGATTTTGCGATATTCTACCATACGTCTGTATGTCTATTTTGAAATCGAAGCGAGATACAATATTTAAATATTAAAATTATGGTAGAGTACAATGTGATTATCAAGACAGAGGCCGAGACTTCGATACGCGTAGGTATAACGTGCTGCACGTTCTCCTATAAGACGTAATACGTTTTTCCTCATAATTGCAGAAATTTTTATTGCCCTTTTTATTAACATTTTATAAGCATTGCCATACATTTTAATAATTTGAATAATTTTTTTTTTACCTGTATTATAATTTAATATTAGTATCGTTTTTTTATATTTAGTATTTAATATTAGTATTCATTACAGCAGTAGGTAGGTATAATATGATATTATGCTTGTATAACTCGTCTTTAAAATCCACTTTTATACGATTTTATGTGCAAAAAATAACAAACAAGACAAAAAGAACATATTCTGTACAATAACACTCACGCATAACAACATGTAGGTACCAATAATAAACATTAATCATACACTCCTGTATCACTTTACTGCGAATCCTTCAAAAGTACTGATTTATTAAGAATGTGATGTTGCTTATGTATTTCTATCATTAAAATTGTTCTCAAATTCCATACCAATGTCATCCGGTAAAATCAAAATAATAAGCTATTAGTCGATATAATTATTACATAAATACTGTCACCGATGGTGAGGAGCGACAAGCTTAACGAGAGGAAAATCACACAATAATTACACAATGTTGGTACAATCCATGCATTTTAATCATTAAATCACATTTTAATGATAAATTCTTTTTTTTTTTTATTTTGTGATACCTAATTAGAGAAAATAAAGATAGATTATGCGTAAATACTGCTACTAAAAAATCTAAAAAATACATAAGGAAATTTTATTTTTATAGTCATTTAAGTTCAAATTTGGACGAAATTACATATTAAAAACCTAGAATAACTATTTTAGTTATTTTGTTGTGATTGTATAATATTATTCGTGGATGCTTAAAACAGGGTTTTTTGTTGATGTATAATGCGTTATAAGTACCAAATGGATATTGTGATATGATTAATTTGGAATTTATTATAGGTACCTATTATAGATCAATTTTTTTTTTTAATATTTACCATAGATTAGTATAGAATATGTCTTGTACTTAGACTGACATACCGTCTCCGCTCAGAATCGTTTTTCTTATACAATGATATCATATCATTGAATTCAACTTTAATACCATCCATTTTACAGTGACCCACTTGTAACCTACTGTACAGCAGAGCAACTTTTTTATTTTGTCTCCTTCAAACGGTATTGATCTCTCGTTGTTGGCGTAAAATATTTATAACGAGTGTCCTACGATGATTATTATAATTATATCATAATAGGTAGGTACTTGTGTGTAACGTTACAACTTACAAAGATTTTTTCCTATCATAGGCAATAGATCGTAAAACCCTACAAGTAACTTACCAGTGAATAATCATAATATTAGCAGAGTGTATCATGACTTGTGACTTGTTTATAATATTATTACAATATATTATAATAATATATTTATATTATTTAGTGTATGGTACCGGCTTTCGGTTCGGTTGTTGTATGTGGTCAAACCGGTTTAATAGATGGCGTTGGTCTTTCGTGCTATGCCTAATACTGGTTGTGAATTTGTGACGTGTGTGCACGATATCGTTGGCGAAGGACAAAAGTTGTACCAGAAGTTACCGAAAAGCCAACAGAGATTCGCGATCGATTGCACTGCTGCGTCGTGCCCCACTAACATCCATTGCGATTTTCAGTTACTGCCAGTTATACAACAGCTGTGGTCATACCTGTTCAATGCGATTTACTGCACTTGGTCGGTTGACTGTGAAAATGTCAGCCGACCGAGTGAAAACGGTCCAGGATAAGGATTTGGGAATGATTATGCGTTTTTCGTTTGGTTTTTTTTTTTTCGTATTGCCTCACGTGCGGGGTGCTTGTACAATACAAAATACTATACATTTCACGTAACGATAATAGAAAAACATAAACGCCGAAACTGAAAGTAGGCAACCTTAAATCGAGCAATTAAGAAGCACAACAAAATATATTCGATTTATAACAATAGGTTCTACCAATAACGTGTATAGGTACAATGCTTAACTTTGTTGACATTTTATTGAACTGTAATATATAATTTAATTCGTTCTTCGTGTTTCATTAAACCAGCTAAACTATTAGTGGTAATAGGTAATAGGTAACAAAATACAATATATAGGTACTATGTACATTACGATAAAATGCAATGTTAGTTACAGATGTAGGTAGTCGTTTTTCTTTGATATTCATATTATAATATATTGGCGTAAATATTAATAAATAAATAAATGGCAAATTGAAATAAATAAATAATATTCGAACTTCATAGAAAATGTAGAAATATCAATGTGCCTAATAATAATTTTTTGTTTTTATTGGTCTAGAGCCCGCCACTACTGCCATTAACCAATTCATAATTTTATGATATTCATTTGAGATCATCACATAGTATTTTAATTTATAATATCAAGCATGTAACCAAGTAGTAAATGGTATTGTCGTTTTTAATTGAATTAAAATGTACTAAATGATTAATATACATGCTTGTTAATTATTGGTATATTTACTGTTGATAAATAATATATTAACTTGTAACTATATACTTAAGTGTTTAACGCCGGCTTGAGCATAACTCAACCAGTGGTGTATTAACAATATGATACACTATTAAATCTTCTAAGTCTGCCATATCGGATATCAGGTCGAGATTTGACTTTTTAAAAGGTCGAGTTGATTTGGTAGTTGTATTATATTGTTTTTTCCCATTTACTTTTAATGTTATATTATTATAATATAATACAATATGATATTTTACGATATCGATTATTATTTATTAACTAACAAACCAAAAAAGCAATGATATTTATAGGTATATAGGTAGATATATAGGTACATGTTTAAATATTATATTCATCAGAAAACTAAATACATAATAATATGATATACATTTAAAAGTACGACCAAATAAGACCTAGTAGGTATATCTATCCCACATAGCAAAATTGTACTTTAAAAATATTGTATAAGTATAATATACAAATTCTAATAAGTACTTGATTTAAACTGTCGCAATATTTTAAAATATTATGAGAGTTAAAAGTTATCACAATATAGCTTTATATTTTATCAACATTGTAGCTATATATATTATCACAATATTGTAGCTATATATTTTTACACATGTTTGATTTATGCAATTTCAAAATATTTAGTATCAAAATATATTTCTTAAGGTATTTAACTACTACTTCTGGAGGAGAAGTATTGGCACCATCCATAGTTCCTCCTCCAGTCCTCGATACCATAATAAAAAAAAAAAAAAAAAACGTATTTAACTACTACGATATTAAATAAGAGACAATTATTTATAGTAAGTACTACAAAATGAATAATAATATATTGATCAATAATACAATATTGTAAACTGGTTGTACCTATAATATTATGTAACTTTTTTTTTAACATTTTATTATTGTTTAATTTATGTACTTGGACTTGAACATTTTTAATTTGCAAGAATGGTTATTTAAATATACAAGAACTGTTTTTTAATGTCCATTACATATAAACATACACATATTATGCGATTATGCGGCCGTCAAATAGATATTGTTACAACAGTCGCCATAATATTATATTATCTGTTATATTATAATATTATGTGTATAGTACATAGTTGGTCTATAAAAGAAAATAATAATAATATGTGATATTATTATAATAGTGCCTAGTTTGGTGTTTGACGCGTTTGCCTATTATGATAAACCAGACCAATTTACGACGAAAGATTCTAAGGTCAAACCGTAATCAGTTCGGTCTTAAAGAACCTAACCAGTATAATATAATAAAATATCGCGTATAATATTATAGTGTTGGCGGCGACATTGCGTGATAGCGAGCACGTGTACCGAGAAGTACTTGTGGCACTCGTGTTCGACACACGCCGATGTGCGGACGTTTCGATAGGGTTATTGGAAATCATTCGATATTATTGTAAGAGCGAATAATATTATAGAATAAGTTTGATTTTTCTGTTCGTTTTTCAACCGTCGTCACGTTTTCGTTACAATAATAACAATTTATTATAGTATTATCGTCTTCCTCGCGATGACCACCTACGAAGCGGTGACGATACCTCCGACGGGCAAACACACGTCGACGGTAAGCAATATTATAATACTTACAAATTAATAAGATTATATTTTATTTTTTTTCACTTTATCTAGAGTCAATTATAATATAATGACTCTACGTTATCGTGTTAATAATGATATTGTATAGGTTTATGCTGTGGTCTTAATGGTAAAATAACTAACGTTCCTGCCGCGCGTACGACGGCTACATCCGAATTGGTTTCCGGTATTTTATGACTGTGCGATAGACATTTGAATCGGTTCCCATTAAGATCTTAATACTGCATTGTTATCCGGTCCCATTTTTTTTAAAGAAAATAACACTAAACAATTAACAACTTTTTGAAACAAAAAGTAATAAAAAAAATTAATTTTCAAGTATGTACAGATATAACACATTGACAAGATCAGATATAGTTAGCTACTCAATTGTTTTTAAAATACTGTATACCTATAATATATAAAAGCGAACATTATACTATTTAAATAATGATTCTAACCGGGATCAGATACCGGCAAGTACCACGCGTATACCATCATATCATTATTGGATATCGGTATAAAAAGAAAATACCTATACCTCATTGCATAGGTATCTACAGCTACATAAAATTAGTGTAAAAACTAAAAGTAGTAGGAGCGGAACTCGTAATCGTCTGTCGTATTTAAGACAAACACACACGTGTGATTCGTTTTTATAAGTACGATTTGTTAAATATTATCGATTTTCACGGTCGTCACACTTGTCATCTGGTATCGAGGTAACACATAATAATATGCCATTACCCAACGCACACGATAAATGATACATTTATTTATTATGCTCTAACACGTTTCTGGGAGAATCGTGTGCGTTATAGTTTGTGTAATAGGTTAAGTCTACAACACTTTAGAGATTTGTTTACTCACGAGGAAGTACTCCGGATACTACTTGCGAGTTGCGAGGGCTATATATATATTATAGACTATAGTCGTTGAAATAAAACTAGAGAATCCGTTTGAAAACTCAATGAAACGAGCGATGAAACATAAGACCATAACTTGCGTACTACACAAAATATATTATAGACGTGTGATAATAGTCGTATTACGTCGTTGGTTCAATATAATTATATATTTAGCTATTAGCTTATTTTATTATTTTAACGTTACGTTAATATGATTATTATATATTATAGTAGATTAACGTAGGTACCTACAGGTAAAACTAACTTATTTTAACCATCTACCTAATCAAATCCATAATTTTACTTTATGCCTTCTGAGTCGAAACAAATGTTTTATTCTTATAAATTCGTTCAGAAACATGACGTTATATTATGTAACGTGTGCAAAGATCTGGGAGTATTGATAAAATTTTTTTAATTTGAAAATTTTGTATATAAATGGAGGAATTTTTATGTATTTATTTAGTTTCTAAAAATACTATCCAGTTCACATCACTAAGCCCAGCTATAAACTTATGAAAAAAAAATGTAAAAAATGTAAAAAATGTATCAATTGTATTAAAACAAAACCTAAACGTTTTCAAAGTTGAATACAATTTTACTATTTACATGGATATTTTTTTACCACTATCATAATTGTTTCCAGGGCATTATTTTGGAATGGCATTGGTACTGTTTCAAGTTTAGTTGAAAAATATATATTTATTGTTGTATAATATTATATTAAGGGCTTCGTTCACGGAAAATTAATTACCAAACTCGTGTGCTCGAGCAGTCAGACTTAATCAAAACTTCAAAATAAATGTATTGAAATTATTATTGATATATTATTAATAATTTTGTCATATTTTGTATATCACATTATTATAATTTTTGTCTTAGGAGTAAAAAGTTTAAGTGTATTTTTCTCTATCAAACCATTTAAAGTCTAGTCTATGACTGTATTATCATTTTAAAATTTAATACCTGATCAATTATATTTGTTATCAAATATTGAAATCATACCTGCTCAATGGCGGTCTATATTACGAATATTACGATATTGAGTTTTTACTTTAATTACATTTTAGTATCGATGTTTAGTAAATTAAATTGTTATTAGAAACATAATATTATGAGAGTAAAAAGATTTAGAGAAGAGGTTAAGTTTGATAATTATTAATCAACGTTATATTTACTGAAAAAAAACAATCATTTTAAATTCCTAATTTAAAAGTTTACTAATGTGTTATTATGTGACGGTATTATTATTATGTTTTTAGTAAATAATATGTAGTAGGTACACGAAAATAAAATTAACACATTTTAAACCAATATGATATTATAGTTTATTAATTTATACGTTTAAAAAAATTCAAATAGGCCGAGATCGTAAAATCATGTATCTACAATTAATTACACATCTATTTTTTCTTATGGGTAGTACCTACTTAACAAAAGGTATAATACCTACCACCTATCCGACGAATGAGAAATAAATAATCGAATATTTACCAGTGCTGCAGTTTTTTAATAGGTACTGTTTTAAAAAATCGTATCGACTTGGTGTCAATAAAATCAATTAACATCATTTAATCGAAATTCAAAAAAGTTGGCATTTTAAACGACAGCAAAAGTCAGAAATTTGCTTTTGCCATGGTCAGAATAAATTAGCACCATAGATTCAATTAGAAAATAAAAACAAATTCAACTTGGTCTAAGCAGGTTACAGCTCAAGAAAAAAATCATCAAGTCGGTATGTTAGTGTGTCACATACAACTACAGAACCATATCAACAAATTATATAAAATGAACAAGTGTAAAAGACATTTAAGGCCAATTAAAGCAGTGTTAATCAAATTGTGTTTTATATATTTAAAAATTAAAGTTGAATATAACTATGTCCAAGAGTACAGAAATTATCAAATATTCCAAATAATAATATTCTTTCGAACTAAATACGAATTCTATCTTATATATTTGAAATCGATAATATTGAAATAGCATTTGTTTATATGTTTATCAAGGTCAACACACAAATTAATTTAAAATAAATATCTAAGATATATAAATATGCATATTAACATTAATTAAAATTACCGAGGAGGTTCCATCAATAATTATAATTATTTATAGTCAATAATTTTAAAATATTATACAATTTTAGTATATATTAAGTAGGTAGGTACTTTTAAACTTCAAAGTCATTTAAAATAATTATAATTAAATCTTTTACTCGTATACGTTCAGGTATAATATTTGAAAAAAAATAATGATAGTGAAAACGCTGAAATTCTGTTAGTTAAAATAATTGATAATGTTATAAGTTATAACATACATGGATAAAAAAAGTGACTTTATTTTGTCATATTTTAAATGGCAAGGTTATACACCCGTCCTCCCAAAGGGAAGGTGTACACTCACCACCATCTCGAAGGGATCTTTCCCTACCAAGATTGGCTATTTCCTCTCCTGGGGTGGTTTCGGGACATGGAATGCAATGTTTTTTTAATTTTATCATTGAGGAAAATATAAAATATAATATATTTTATATTATGTACAGTGATCAGCAGCACAGTTTATTTATACGGCTTTATATCATTTAGTACAAATATATATATATTTATAACTGTAATGTTGTTTGTTTGATAAATTAATTACATTTTTTTTTCTTTACAGATTATTTTTTTCCACGGTCTTGGCGAATCTGGGTAATTCATAAACATTTACAAAGCTTTAACTATATTGATAAAACTCTAAATTTTTTCCATGGTATCACAGCTATATATATTATACACTTTGCCTTTTTTTGTACGAAAGAAAGCAATAACTCCAAGATAATTATAAAAAATTATTATACTGAAAATATTCACTGTATAATTTTTCTAAATCTAACGGTATATTGCATATCCTCTCAAAAGTATACCATCAGCGTATTATTTTCAATATGTATAGTAGTGGTTGTACTTAATTAAGTTTAAAAGAAATTCACACTTTTAGAGTCCATACTTTTTCTACACCTAACAATATCTTAACACTGGAAATCTAAAAAAATCAGTCAGAATCTGAAGTTGTTAGAAAATTATCGACGAATAAAATATGGTTTACTATATCTCAATATTTTTAATTTAGTATTACCTTAATGCATTTAACAGTTTATTTAAGGTACCATTGCAGTTTTGATTATTGATATATTTATGATTTGCGACCTTCATTGTGTACATTATATTTGTTTTTTGTTTATCCATTCTAAAAATCGATGTAAAAATAAAAAACAGCTAGCAATAATTATGACATATTTATATAGTGTTGTGTAAATTGTATTTTTAGGAGCATTTGGGCGGACTTATTGACAAATTTACGCAAACCAAATACCAAGATTATCTGCCCTTCTGCGTGAGTTTATACTTTATTTAATTATTTCACAATAATAATTATTACACATACACACACTAGGTGAAAGGTGTATACAATTAGTGGGAGGGGAGGAGACATTGGGATCAGATCACCTGTGGCTTTTTTTTTTAAATTTTATGAAATTATGTTTTTTTCATAATTTATTTTATTATAATACAATTTCAAATATGTATAATACATACATTCATTTGGGTAATAAATAAATTCATAAACAAATAACAATAGATACAAACAATAGACCTGATTGCCATACTCACCATCACACTTTAAGAAGATGTTATTCAGGTGATCGTTTTTAGTGGTAAAAACATGTCCACGAAGGCACGAAAAACAATATACAAATCGAAATTAAAAAGAGGTATTAGAGCAAAAATACTGTTAACTATGAAATTTACAGAAGACTGAAAGAAACAACCACTTTGGTGTTTTTAGAAAATATACTGGTTTAAGTATTGAAGAGTTACAGTAATTTAAAACAAAAATATAGAAATAAAAAAAATAATGTTTTTTGCCTTTCATAACGAGCTATTTATAGCACAAAATCCCAATGAAGTTGTCTCCGAAATACTGTTCTCTATAAATTATTGTATTACAAGTGTTTTTACTCTAAAACCACTTTGTAATGTCTTTTCGTTTGTTTTTGCGCAAACATGTTTACGTCATTAGATTAAATTTGTCATTGCTGTCATGTGCTGGGTCCACACGATAATAGTAAACCACGATAGTTTCAACAGTGACAGCTAGGGTTGATATCATTATAACTATTGTATACAAAAACATACGCGTTGTTACATTTACCCATGGGTCTCTGCATTTGGGGGACTATCGAGTCTCACTTAAAATAATTACCTATTTAATTTATTAATACGAATATTCAAACAGCTATTTTTCTGACGTGGCTTAGAAATATTTTCCCACTATTCTCCCCCCCCCCTCCCTACCTCTTACAATAGAAAAGCTACGTGATATTCTGTATGCATCACTGCAGACACACACATAATAATTTAAAATATTGAACCAAAACATCGTCTCGATCATCGCAGCGGGGCAATCGACTAGGTAAAGGTTAAAAACCGGTTTATTCGATTATTTCATTAACAATAATATATTATAATTATTATTATTATGGAATCTATAGTACTAGCCGAGGATGATGACAAATATATTTTATTTATTATTTTTTTTTTTGTCACCATATTTTCAAGGCCCAAAATACCGTTGACGTTAAACAAGGGGTTCGCGATTCCGGCGTGGTTCGACTTGTCGACATTGAACGAAGACGCGCCGGAAAACGAGTCGGACATATTACGTGCCGTGGACAACGTGCACGCGATTTTGGACGAGGAATTGGCCAAGACGCGGTTACCGCCAAAGAAATTGTTGCTGGGTGGTTTTTCGCAAGGCGGAGCGCTGGCCCTGTACTCGGCACTCACGTACCACAGGCCACTGGCCGGTGTCCTGATCCTATCCTGTTGGATACCGTTGCACAAGACCTTCCCAGACGTAAGTCATCGACGGTTAAGGCTGGGGATGTATACCTATCACTATTCCATTTTTAATTAAAATTACAATTTTGAATTTGGTTTTGGTGTAACTTTAAAACAAATTAACATAGACACTTGAAATTTTCACTGGTTGTTTATATTTGCATTTTCTATACACTATAACATTTTCAAAATATTTTGATTTATTTTGAACTGTTTAGGAACATTTTCATTTTCCATTTATTTATTTTTTTTTTTCTAAAGATATCAATAAAATTTTATTTGTTGGCTGAAAAAGCTTGAAAATTTAATAGAAGGCTCCTAGTATACTGTTCCAAAGGCAGATGAAAAATATTAAAAATCCTAAGTCACAGTTTTTTTCTCTGAGCATTTAAAGTTCACAAATTGACAAAATATGGAAAAATCACGAAAATTAACAAATTATTTTGAGTTAAAAATTCGTAAAAATTTTACTTTTTAAATCTAAGGTTTTAAAATGTAATACAAGATTCCTTATATGATTATCTACCTTTATCAAAAAAAAAAATGTCTATAAGAAAGTCAAATTAAATTTTTATGAGCGTTTGAAATTCAAATTTTTACAACATTGGATATTCACTCGATTTCTCATGTAGCGATATCCTTATTTTGTTGTAATTCAAAACTGTAGATACATGAAAAATTCACTGAATGTTCATATTAGCATTTCCTATACACTGTAAAATGTTGAAAATATTTTGACTCTTTTTGAGCTGTTTTTGGACATTTTCAATTTTCAATTTTTTTAGTTTTTTTTTCTATAAATATCAATAAAGTTTTATCTGTTGGGCCAAAAAGTGTAAAAATTTAATACAAGGCTCCTGATATATTATCACAATAGCAACTGAAAAATATTAAAAATACATAGGCACATATTTTTTTTATAAGCATTTAAAGATCGAATTTTGACAAAATTTATCAAAATCTCGAAAATCATCAATCATTGTAAATAATAAATTATAAAATGTTCAGTTTTTATAGCTAAGGATTGCAAATTTAAAACAAAGGTTCTCATAAATATTTCATACTGTAACCAAAAAATCTAAAAAATATATGAACACAGTTATTTTTTACAGACATTTTAAATTCGAATTCGGACGAAATTACATATTAAAAAACCTAGAATAACTATTTTAGTTATTTTGTTGTGATTGAATAATATTATTCGTGGATACTTGAAACTTCTAAAGAGTAATATTATATATCTATGATAGTATCACGGTTTTTGTTGATGTATAACGCGTTATTATAAGTACCTAATGTATATTGTGATATGATTAATTTGGAATTTATTATAGGTACCTATTATAGATTATTTTTTTTTTTAATATTTACCATAGATAAGTATAGAATATGTCTTGTACCTAGACTGACATACCGTCTCCGCTCAGAACCGTTTTTCTCATACAATGATTTTATATCGTTGAATTCAAATTTAATATCATACATTATACAGTGACCCACTTGTAACCTACTGTACAGCAGAGCGACACCCACTTGCCCACCTTTTTTTAGTTAAAGCTATTTGTTGATCCATCTGTTTACTATGTATATTTACATTAGGTAGTTTACTAATTCAAATTATGTAACACACACATTAGTACATGACAGTGACCTACTCAATATGAAGTACACTCAAAAATAACTATACAGCAGACATAGTTTTTAAATATTAATTATAATTTACTACTATTACTAGGTACTGTATTAGAAACTTAATGTATATTTTATTAGTACCAACCGCCTACGCATAAACTCAACGTAAAAAACAAGAAATTTATAAAATTAATGTAAGTTAATATTTTAAAAGATAATTCATTAATTTTCTTTAAGAATGCAATTTGTTACGAAACTTTTAAAGTTAAATCGTGAAGTGGGTAAACATTTACATGGTGGACGCACCAAGTAAATTTCACATTATTTCTATATAATTATCTCACTTTGAAAATATGATATAATTTAAACATCATTGATAACTTCACTATATACATAGTAAATTATTCTATACCCACCTATACTTGATTTTAGTAAAATTACTTTTTTAATATCATTAGTTGTTCTTGGTTTTATAATTTTGTAATATATACCTAATTTATTACGGTAACGTTTTTATAACCTTTTTATTACGGAGTATGGTAAGAAGCTACTAAATTATAGATTAAATCAAAAGCCAAAATGTAATGTTCTATTTATTAGTATGTTTTTATCTTAAATAATAGCCATTTAGTTTTTTTTTTAACTAATGGTCTTTTTATGAACTACAACATTTTATGACCAAAATAATATTGTTTTAATTTAATAGAACTATTGAGGACGGGCTTATACAACTATATTATTTAGAGTATAATTATAGTTACAATATATGTGTATAATGATGTTTATATATTCAAATTTACTTAATGAGGCTAATGACTTATAGTCATATTATATTGATGTAAAATGTTTTATGTTATTATTAAAAATACCTTGTCAAGTAGGTACCTAATACTTTTGTAGTTTATGTATTTTCGTAAAGCCGCATGGGTAATAAATAACTAATTAAGTAAACGATAATTGTTTTAAGCATGGTAGGTACCTAAATGGAAGTATGCTTTAGGAGAAATAAACAATGAGATGAAATAAATATTACTTTGTTTCATTCCTAATTATTTTCAGTGGATGTTGCTATAGTGAATTCCTTCTGGGGAATTGGAGTTACTTACACACACACACACACACACCTACACACACACACACAATAATGATAGTAGATTAGCGTGTGCATTTACTGGTGGTTCCCGAATCGTAATGTATGACCCCAAAGTATTGACTATAATATGGATACGGTCACTTGTCGTCATGCGTTACATAACTTCGCCCAAAATCCATTATGGTCAATTCCGTCTGGCATGTCTAAAGTTTTTCCAACTTTTCAGGACAAACAAAAAAACGCTGTTTCATTACTAGGAATTTTGAAAATTGGTACCTCTGTAAACAATCATCAACTCTAAAAACCTATACCTATGCTATTTCTAAAGAGTTCTTTTTATGAACAATTCATGAGAATGACCTTGATAGTGTAGGTATATAACACTAATATTCACAAATCAGATAAATGTATTTGTTACGATAGGCCATGATGTTTTACCAAAACATATTATTTAAATAATTAGATCGTCCTTGATAGTGTAGTAGTTGAACTTTAGATAGGTAATGATAACAGACGGTTTTAAATAGATCGTGGTTTTGATTTCTCACAGCGGACATTTCGTTCTAACCTCGAAACTATAAGAATACGGTCTCACGCGTCTTGAAAACACGAACCATACATAATATTGGTATACAAAATGCGAATTTTAATTTTTTGAGAACGGCCATCATGGTACTTAGGCAACGGTGCTGTTGTAATGAGTTCCTTATCCGACCCAAATCTGTATGTTAAATATTATATTATTTTTAATTATTAGGCGGCCACGAATAACACCAATATACCAATATTCCAATGTCACGGGACGGAAGACCCAGTCATACCTTACGCATGGGGCACACGAACATCAGAAATATTAAAAGAGTTTGCCACCAAAAGCCAATTCACAAGTTATGAAGGCTTGTTGCATCGTACAAATGAGAAAGTAAGTAAGCAATCTGATAGATTGTAATATGACGTTTTTATGACTAGTAACCGACCAAGTTTAGGATGTTTTGCTATCATTGTTTTCAGTTTTAATCGTTTTCCAAGAATAAAAAGTAATATTTTTTTTTTAATCCGTGAATAGATGAATAGATTTGGTGAAGCTATACCATGTGTCCACAAAAACAAGGCGCACTCTATTACTCAGTTACTTTTATTACTCAGTACCCTATATACATATTTTTTTTAATTCTGTTTGCGAGACATGAGAGTTAACTTTTGAATCATAAATTCCTATAAATTTCAAACGTTGAACACTTGTATTTTACGCATGCGCAACAACTTAATTTTTTCTGTATACCTATGTTTCTGAGGACATACAGTATATATATTTTTTATTTTGCATACTTACTATAGGGATTCAAATACATTTTCCCCTTTTTAATTCGTGCAAATTTCATCAAATTTAGTCCCTATTCAATGTACATTTTCTATAAAATATAGTCTGTAAATGCATACAGTCTATAGTCATGTGCACAATTGAAAGCAATGTAGTACACATTAAACAAAAATTCAAATATATTTTCGAGTTTCAATGGTTCCAAATATCTTTTAAAGAACCCCTCACCCAGTTAATCACGATATTTACATATTAAAAAAAAAAATCACTCAAGGTCCGAAGATAGTACTATAATTGGTTTATATTTACAGGAGTTGGCAGATATAAAATCATTTATTCACAAGACTGTGACATGATCAATTTGACATGAAATAGAACAAGATAAACAGGCTGAATATTAGCCATAAGCAGTATAACAATGTGTGTATATTTTATACCTTAGGGAAATTGGTATTTTCTAAAACTCATTATGACATAATTTTGTGGATAAAATAAACTATAGATGTTTATGTTAAAACCAATGATCCAAGACATTGAGAGAGTGTTAAGATACATTTTGACTATAATAGATGGTACTTACATTTTCCTCCATCCATAACTAATTATTTAACTCATTTTGTCATGTCCTACGAAATGCACAAATTAAAACATTCCTTTTGCAAAACGTAAAATGTAATATAATTTAAATTTAACGTTTAAAATCAATATTATTTACGTAATATATTTAAATGTAAAAAAATTATACAACATTCAACCTTTTAAAGCCAGCGAGAAACCGCACAGTTTTTTCTATTTTTATCTGTGACAGTATAGTTTACAATATAGTTTAACGATTTTATAGATATGACTTAAAGGGTGTATATGAATATATTTTACTTGTGAGCTTTTCTACGTACAATATCAAAGTTTCGGAAAAACACGAATCGATATGCTATTTCAGTTGATTTGTAACAAATAGCATCTCTACTAGACCATTTCATTATGTAACTCTTAAAAAATAAAACCAATTAGCAAAACAAATATTTGTTTTAATTAACTAATTAATGAGGAGTTTTACAGTAATTCTATGAACATAATTGAATATTTCTCATTCGTTTTAAGTCGGCAAGGTAAGTTTTATAGAAATAAGAACATTTTCGGTAAGTACAAACATAACTTGATTAATTCAATTATTAAAATCATTAAAATAAATATTTTATTTTATAATTTCAACTTTTCATGTATTTATTTTATGCTGCCTTTTGAATAAAAATCAAATTTAAGTTTTAATTGATCAAATGAGTCATGTAAAATTATCGCCCCAGTGTAAACATTGGTGATTGATAAATTAATTGAAATTTATTATTCAGTATAAAAATAAACATAATATTATATTGACACTTGAGATAAATAATTATTCTATTAACAAGATCGGAGAGGAGGAAAATACAATAGCGAGCGTAACAGTGTCGACGAAAGAAAACAATTTTTATATTATCAAAAGGAAAACACTTTGATACAATAGAGGTACCTGTGTAGGTACGATTGTACGAGGCTTTATAAAAATAAACATTACGATTTCGCGATGAAATTATCTATTTTTTGCTTAAAGATTTTGGATTTGTAAAATTACTGAAAAACACGTTTGTCAGCTGGCGTACGTCTTCGACGAAAAATCTCGATAATTTCCGGGTGGACCCTACTCTGAACCCCGTCACATCTCCGATTTTTCTGTTACGTAGTTAGGTATTCGACTAAGTTCGACACTATACGTCTAACATGATAATCTAATGTGTCGTTAGTTTTTTTACAAACATAATCCCTAGTGCTGTAGACACCCACGCGCACACAGTTGTTGTTGTTGTAGCTATCTACCTGGCACAGTTGATGTTGTCGTTATTGTATGTATCTATCTGGTCCTGATCGTATTATTATTATAATGGCCTGCTATGAGTGATTTATCGCTCGTCCAAAGCGCAATCCTCATATAAAATATATATTATAATATTTATCACGTGCGTGTACACAGAATTATTATAGCCTTAGACTGTGGGCAGAAAAAAAAACAACCGAAATAAAATATTCGCATTTGTATTTCGCGATATTTCACAGCCACCGCGGTAGTATGCGGTACCTACGCCTGCACACCTGCTCTATAAATATAGGTACAACACCTCGTTTACTATTATTATATTATTATTATGCGCCTATTCTATGCCATAATGTTATTATTATAGCTATATATTATGTACGATGCCCGTAAATCATGCCCACCAACTCCTAAGCTGGTTGTCGAGGGAGTCTCCTTGGCATATATATAGGTGGAGATCCTGGCAAATATTAGGGCTTAAAATATAATGTTCGATATCATAATATAGAGCCCGCCCCCCGACTATTTTAACCATAGAAACTAATTTAACAGTTGTTCAATACTACATACGCACTGCAGGTACTCTGTAATATTATAGACGCTCATCACAAATGCAATAAAACATGTATTTATTGATTGCACATAGTAAGGTTACTACCTAGTGTTTTAAAGTGATGTTACTTTTTTTTTTGAAACGAGGGTACCTTTGTGATTTGTTCCGATAGTCTGCTGTTAGTAATTTACGCTTGCCGGTTTTATACGACTTTAATCAATTACAAAAAATTATTATCATGTATATTTCTGATTTCATAATAAACGTTGTATAAAGTATATTTATTTAATATTAAAAAAATATTATTAAGTACTAATAAATTATGATTTATTACAATAATAAAAATTATGATTAGCTATCAATATGAAGTAGACAATCATATTGTATTAGATATCTACACGTTCCGATGTTCGGTTATAAATTATAATTTACACTTTAATCTTTTACAGTGGTCATTATTCAACTTGTATGCCTTGTAAAATGTAAGTACATTTCAAACATAAATTAAATACTTTTAACAATTAATATAGACTATAATAATTTTACCTACAGTTTACTCTTCTATTCCGATAAACATTAAAGATGGTTGAAAATGAATTTGAATGTAATTATTATTGCATGGCTAACAAAATAATAAATATTATTATTGTAGTTCATAAAGTTGCTAGTAGGTAACATATAACTTTGGAGTTCCCCGTATATATTATGTAAAAATTAAACGTCTGGTTATAAGTTACACAGTACCTATCTAAAACTATCAACCCGGCTAAAGATTTACAAAACTTTTAAAAGTCCACAACATATGTTACAAACTATATATAATATATAAGTATACACCTTTAGTCTTTACTCATACACTGAGCAAATTCATCTGTCCAGGATCTGTGTTCTACCATCCGTAATGATAAGTACAAACTTTGATAACCCCTAAAATAATGACGTTGGTTTAAGTAATAACGTAATGCTCAAAAGTTATCTGAGCACGCATTAACCCTCTTAAAACTGTTTTCGTATTAACGCGATGATAAGAACGTCTGCTATTATAATATAAGGAAAGTGTTGGGCAAATATTACGAAATCACATAAATAATTATTGTATTAATTACCACTATTATTATATAAGTAATATTTTATAGTTTGATACGTTTTCTTAACAATCGCTCAAAATTATTGCAATAAAACTACCATAAAAATAAAAGTGCGATTTGACGTATACATTTATTACATCGTGATAATAATATGAAGCGACTAAGCACATATATTACTGGAGCATGTGATAAGATATTCAAAGTGATTCATCCATATTTATTATTTATACAATAGCTAGCCAATAAATTAAAACATTGTCGGAACACTATGGAGACGTATCGATAAACGTATGAAATGATAGACCGATGAGACACACAATATCTTAATTGTCTTCGAGTTATTTTTAAATCACCGTTTTGATTTTATATAATAGCCAATTTTATAAAGCAATATATTATTATTATGTTTTATTTGAGATAGTTATTGTGTTTTGTGCTGCAGTACCTACTCGTATTTCATTAACAATATTTTATTGACGGTATACTTGAGAAACGTTTGAGATTGAGATGTTATATAATATCGTATTGGTCTTCCCTGCCATATATCAAACTGAGAATAATAACCCTATATAGCAACTGATATATAGGTACCTACGCGTATAGTGACATTCGAAGTTTTTCTCACAATATGTATATAATAAATGTATATATTATATATATATATATATAAACATCATGTCTGTACGTATTTTATTATAGTTACAGCGTACAAGGGAATACTAACCCGAGAGAACGCAGAAAGCCAAAAGAGACGGTGTGTTATATATATAGTTGTAAATATAATATAATGATACTTTCGTTTACCGTCGCTGCATCGAGAGCAATATCCAACATCTTTTGTTGGGAAAAAATTCCCAAAAGCAGTTTTTCCGACAGTCGAAATCGATTCCGCATTTTTGATAATACAAATTATTATAATTTAATTTTAAACAAACTTAAATTAATTTTTAAAATAATAATATGTACCTATAATCTATATTTAATAAAATATCACAAGAATAACTCCGGCGACCACTCGCATGCAGAGAGTGCAATAATGGCAGACTTCTGACTTTTCTTTGGGGGTGTATTTTTAGGTAGATTAAAATAATACAACATTATTCAAAACGGGTCACAAACGTTGGAAACACGACAGGAATGACAAAGGTGTCGTTTATTATATTACGTATATTTTACTATTCTTCACTATTATAGAATAGGTACTCATAACAAACACAAATCACAATTATAATACACAGAGTAACAAAATGACCTATTGAATCAAAGACAAAATTGTCAATCGATAGATACTCTATAGTTAAACGGATGACAAAATTATGAAAATGATTGATAGTAGATTAGTAAATAATTTAAGAAACATACTTCTCATGAAATTCTCAAAAAGAATTTTATAAAAAAGTTATTAGGTTTCAAATTAATTTATTTCAAAAAATGTTGATATTTTAAAAACTAAAGTTCTTGACCAATCAAAATTTGTCTAAAAATGAATAATATTTTTCCAAAAAATTGTAATAAGCTAGTTGGTATAAAAAAAAAGCGGGTAAGTGTATGTCTCTCCGCTATACAGTAGGTTACAAGTGGATCACTGTCTAATAGATGATTAACAATTTAAACGTATGATATAAATTTCAAGTGTCTACGGTTATTCATTTGTGGATTATAAGAAAATAAGAAAATCGCTTCTTGAAAAATCTAGTGAATATCCAATGTTGTAAAAATTTAACTTCAAATACTCATAAAAAATTCATTTGATTTCTTATAGATATATATTTTTTTTTCGATAAAGGTCGACAAACTTATATGGAATCTTGTATTACATTTTAAAATCTTAGATTTAAAAAGAAAATTTTTTAGAAATTTATAACT